CATCTGCGAAGCTTCTGTCGACTTTGTGCGAAGCAGCTGGCTAACTACGGCGATGATCGTAACGTCAAACATGAGGCTTCAGAGCGGGACTCCACAAACCAACGGGTGACGATAGCTTCACACATTAATGCGTCAGTAATTACAATCCAGTCATATAATTATTGTGAAATGGGGGATTCTGCACTTTCAGCACTTTAAGTTTATTTTGATGCTGTTACTCTTGTATTTTTATATTTTTTACTTAACATCGGACATTGAGCGAGACTACAGACAGAGAGGTAAAGAAGCACATTTTAAATCTGTTTATTTTATTAGCAGTCGGATGAAGCCAATAACGGTCTGTCCCTGGTGATTGATGTGTTTTTAAAAGCAGTGGCAGAGGAAGAACATATATCAGGCTTTCATACACACAATAGTTGTTGGATACAGTCTGGTTTATTGGTCACCGACAGTAATCACGGCACAGCATTTTGCTTTTCCATTACACAGATAGAGTTTACTCCTTGTTGTCGGTCATTAAATCTAATGGACTCTCTGGTTCGCGGCCAATCACAGAAAGCACTGGTGTTCCTGGTGAGACAGGAAGTGACCCACGTTCAGATTCAGCTGACTGTGTTTTCTACCTGGCAGTAAAAAAAGATCTCTGTGGGGAAATCTGGAAACGAGGCAGAAACATTCGATAAAAATACACCTCACACTTCAGTACGATGTAGAAATGAAACAGTAAGGAAACAGTGTTTGTACCTTGTTAATGCTCTCTCAGTGGTGACACTTGGACCCCGCTGACCCCGCGTCCTCCAGCTCACAGGTTCAATAAACGCCACGTTTATCCAGAGCGACCTTTCCCCTCAAACATTTATCTATTAACTTGTTCTTGCTCAGACGTTTCTGTAGTTTATGTTTTTGTTTGAGGAACAAACAGAACATCTGAACATTGTTCATAATCATATATCATTTCCAACCACATACAGGCCTTCAGTCCCTGCAGTCAGAGTCCTGGTTGGAGCCTCTGAGAGTGAAACTGTTGAAATAAACTCTTAATTCACCACAGTTGAGTGAGAAGGAAAACAGATGTAGAGACATCTCCACATCTGTTTTCCTTCTCACTCGTTCTCATTCTTCAGAGGAAGACCATTCAATTAGAAAAATAAAATGACAAAAATTGCCCCAAAAACAGCAAAAAAAAAAAAACGACATATCTGTCCAATCGCCCAACCTTAATATCTAATGTGATATAAAATAATATTTGTTTTCACTGAAGATAATCTAAGACATCACATCACAATAAGTAAAAATCCCAGAGTTTAAACCTCCCAGAGATCACTGGGTGTGGTTTATTTTGGTGATCCAGAAAACACAGAGAGACAGGGTCAGAGAGAGACAGACAGGCCGAGAGAGAGACAGGTAGAGACAGACAGTCTCATTATGAGTCTGTGGTGACCTCGTTCATCAGTCTTGGTTCCTCCTGTGTGTCCTTGATGTCACAGCAGTGATTCTGCTGCAGTACAGCTGCACACACAGTCACCACCGTAGAGTTACTGATGCAACATTTACAAACAGCAGGTCTGTCAGTTACTGTCAGTTAACCGTTAACAGCTGATTGTAGTTTAATTGTCAGGTAACGACTACACCCTGGCTTAACTGTAACTTAACAGTAGGGATGTCAGGACCAATACCAATGAAAGTCCACAATTCTCTATAGCAGTTTAATACCACCGTAAAAATGTCCCAATTAAGGTTAATATCTAGTTCCCTGCGACCAAGCTGTTCCTGAATGAATCACCTATTATATATATATATATATACTAAATAACTAATAAAGTGGAAACTCTAAATTACTCTAAATAACTCTCTGAAACTGAATGAATTGGATTCAGTTTAATGTTTCTTTTTCCTCGTTGTTTCTTTTGCGCCGGTTTCATGATTAAATTACTCTTATTTGCAGTTTGTGGTCGCCGTCTTCTACATGCTCTTCCTCTTCTTGTATTTGTTGCCGTGTTTGATGCCCCGTCAGGTTAGGAAGAATTGCCTTCTGGGTATTTCCGGTACTGTAGAAAAAGAGAGCTGTCACATTTTGTGAACTTTGGTCCCGAAGTATGGGTTCTTTAACATCCCTTCCTAACAGTCAGGTCTGGCGGTCTACAGACGAGGTCTGACTGTGAGTTGTGTCTGTAGTTACAGGATGCTTTCGGCCTGAGACGGTGACACAGCAGTGGGGAAGTTGTGAGTCAGCTCAATGCAGCATCTTTTTTATTACTTTATCTTCCTCTTTAAAGTCAGTACATGATGAATGTTAAAGGTAATGCTCTGTGAATAATCTGAACCTCGGGATCATCTGCGTTCAGTTCTGGAGGTTTCATGTAATGTATGTAATGTGTGAAGCCCTTCAGGACGCGCAGATGATGGTTTATAATATCCAGCAGTGACGCTTTGACCTTTCAGTTTCTCTCACATTGAAATCACAAGTTTTTCAGCTGTGCCGCCTCGCTTTCTCGTGTTTGAGATAAACACATCAGCTGTTTTCATTTCAGTGCCAAGAAGAGCTTGTGACGCTCAGCTCAGCTCAGAATACGGTGGCCTTGGGCGGACAAATGACTGAGGAGGCTGATGTTGTTCTTCCAGCACTGTGAGTTAAGACTGCAGGGATGGAGAGGATGAGGAAGAGAGACATGTGAAAGTTGCTGAGGGGATCAGTTAGTGTGAACTTTTGAATCAGTCTCTTTCATTAATGTAGATGGTTGTTGTTTTCTGTATTTAAAGTGTCCTGAGGGAAATCTCATTCATTATTATTATCAGCTGTATGTTGGCATGCTAACACGCTAAAGATGAGATGGGGAACACAGTGAATAGTGAATAGTACAGCCTGTAGACTCCTAGTCGTATTATTTAAGTCTTAGATATAATATATTATATATAATATCTAAGTATTGCAGTACTTTAATCAGTGATCTGTAGGCTCAGTCACCGATTGCCACTCACAAAGACAAAACCATTGATCAGGAGATTAATCAATGATGAAAATAAT